AAATTGCAATTAGTTTGTTTGAGCACTGGATCTTGTTATTCCCATTATTCCCTTACTATCCCGCATCACTGGCTTTTTTCCCCATCAGCTAGTCAGCCTAGCCAGTTTTTCCTCTTACCCTGAAGAAAGTTGAATCACTTGATTTAGTAAATTGCTCTAGACATGTTTGACTCTTTGGCCTAGATTTCCCCTGACTGTAATAAATGCTCAGAGAACTTGCTCACATGTTTCATGCAAAAGTCATCTCAAGATGTGAGCCCATGAAATAGTGTATATAGACTCCATTCAGCCAGTTCAGATTTAAATATGAAAAGAGTAAAATTAAGTGATGTGCTCTCACTGAGGGTCAGAGCAAAGATGAATTTAATTAATTAAAAATCTATTAAAATGTTGAACTGCAGAAAACTCTATGAAAATTTTCTTTAACAAAAAAAAGGGAATCTAGCAACACTTTCTGCAAATTTTACAAATGTCTTTTCACTACCTAAAGTTAACTAAAACTGTCTCAAGATGAAATTCTCCTCTTGTTGATGAAGATAAACCTACATTTTCCCTAGCATCTTCATTCATTTGCTATGCACATGTGAAAAATCTTGGCTATAGGTCCTAACATCATTCATTGCTGTCAGTAGTTCCCCTGATTAGCAGTTTTCCTACCGTGTAGCTACCTAACTTCAGAAAAATGTGAAATTCATTCATAAGCCCTATTTTTTTAAAATGTCTTCAATTATTAGGGACAAGTAGGGGCTGGGAAGGAATAAAAAGGTCAGATCAGGACTACAGTAAGTTTTCTCAAGCCAAATATGCAAAAAACCCCAAACAAACAGGTGTTTAACACCTTTGTGCCTTTCTTTGGTGTAAATACAAATTGGTTCTTAAGAGAACTAGAAATCTGAGGAGAGCCGGTGCCCAGGAGGTTCATCCTACTGTGTCTCTTTACAGAGAGAAGGGCATGAGGTTTCAGGAAAGCGAGTCAAACTATTTTTCAGTGAGATAAAGTTATATGGTGGGAGTGTGTAACCATGGTGATGAAACCACTTAGGTACACCAGAGTCCAGGGAGATGGGACTGATAACAGTTCATACCCAGAAAGCCACTTCAACCTCCATAAAAACAGTTTATGAAGAATAAAGACTTTTCCACAAAACAATTTTTACTGATATTCAAGTGATTGAAGCATGCTTAACATGGTGTGTGTAGGTGCCTCATCTGAAATCCAACACAAGAGGCATGATTTTGGCAAAAGCAGAGCAGCAACAGATGACTCTGACAACTGAGTTGTGTAACAGGTTTCTCTTTCTGCAGCCTAGGTCAGCTGTTTCTCACTGAAAGTTTAACTGAAATGTTAAGGCATCTGGCACTAACCAGAGGGACAAGAAAAAAATGGAAGTGTGATACATACAATTAAGGTGTGATCTTCTTTTCCTACATTGATATTTCCACTGGATCCTTCATTTGCTCATAACCTCAGCTACTTGAGCTTTTCTATGACCACAAGAATTTTGTATTTACCTCAAGTATATAATAAAGAAATAAGACCTGCATCTGGTTGAGAACTTTATAGACTGACAGAAAGAAAGAGAGCAGGAATTATTTGAACAGAAGAGGCATTTGCTATACATTGTAAACCCCACCACTCGTTCTTTGCTGCACTGAACTGTGTTTTGATTCAGACATTTAGGCACTGGCTAATAAGAGTGTTTCGATAAAGTATCTGTGACTTACACTGTTTTGACACCAGGGCTATTTAGAAGCTATTTTTAGGTCACTGTGATGTTAATGGTATTGTAAATGTGGTACTCTGATGTGGTATTATTATGGAAATGAACTGCTTTTAGTCAGTGAAATACCTCACATATACTGTGGTGAATCCACAAGGAGATAATGTGGATTTGGTGACCTGAGTTATAAAAACTTCGTTCGAGGAATAGCCACACATCTTCCTAAAAAAATAACTTTACTGTTTGTGATTTATTTTGCCCTGCCAAGCCAAGTTGTGACCCAGAAATAGATAACAAAGCCCTGCCAAGTTTTGCTTTGAAAGATACTTCTTTTGAGTGGCTGCAATAGTGTAAATAGGAAATAATTTTGCTTTATTTCTGCTGAAGTAAACATTGCCTTATTGTAATAATTTTAATATCTCTTATCACACTTGAATTTAACGCTATTAATCTTGTGTAATCTAACACAGCAGCTTGCCCTGTCATGAGAAAAATGTCAGTCAGAAGTCACAGTTAATCATTGCAAAAAAATTATTAGGAAAAATAAGTCTTGCTCATTTACTCTTCACAGAAGTGTGCGATCTATACAATGCTTCCCATTCTAAGAAAATAAAACTACATAGAGTATCAATATTTATGTTATTAAATCAGCAACAGCAGATGTAGTCTGAATAGCTATGTGGTGTAGTTTCATATGAAGTACCTCCAGTAATATGCTACTGAAAATGAGAAAAAGTTTATAATATGCAATTTCTGAGATTTATTGCAGTCTTGATCATTGCACTGCACTTATTGCAGCAGACCTTACAACTGTAAACTACTGTAATGTGTATCATCTGCACATCAGTAATAACCATTAGCAACTAGCTACAAACAATTATTTCCAACATCACTTACAAAAACCAATTTCAAGTTGTCACTTTAAAAAGCTGCAGTAAAGACAAGGAATTTTTCTTCAGGAAAATGTACATTTATTTTCATGCACAATCTGACCTGTTAATGAAGCATATTTAAACTATAGCCACAAGCACTGACACAAATAGCTTTTTCCATTCTTAACACAAATATAGTTTCATAGATTGAAGCTACCATGCATTTTTGTTTGTTCTCAAGAGAAAACATTATTCAAATATATCCATTGCTTAATTTCTGCTACCCACTCCGCCATTCACCATTTTCATCATCACTCTAAATAGTAAGTGCAGCCTAATTCCTGGGCAAGACAGCCCCCATAGCAAGGCAAACCTCATGAGAAGGTAAATCTTTCTCTTCCATTAATTAACATCTTTTATCACTAATGAGACTCTACACATACTGAAAAAAAAAAATATCTTCTGTGCATAATCATTTCATGTGTGGCCTTGACTGCCAGAAGGGTGCCTGCCCATGAGCTGGAAGATGTGTGTGGGCAGGGACAGTTCACTCCTTGAGGGATGGAGCCAGCTGAAGCTCATGCAACAGAAACAGAAAGGAAGCAGGCAATGGGGGAGTCACACTTCAGGGTAGTATCTTGTCAGGTTTATCAGTATCTCTCCAGGATGGGTTTTAGTGTGGAGAGGGTGAAATAAGATGTCTCTTAGAGCTTGAAGATATAATTTTTGAGGGTTTGTTTTTTTTTTTAAGGATTTAGATTTTGACATTCTTTCGTGTTTCTGTTCTGAGTAAGAAGAAAGAAATGTATTGAGGAAAATACTCTCACAAATCGAATCTTTAACACCTGAATCCATGTACAGTTCATATATGATCACCTAGAAACTAAACAATGGGAATCAAAACAAAAAAAACCTTACCTTAAATCTTTTTTAAGGCAACACCAGGATTATTTCAGGGTTGCGCTCCAGAGGAGGCGCTAGGCATGCTGAATCATAGTTGTTAAAAGCTCAGAAAAAATGAATAATCAGTAAAAGAAAGGAAGTATACCAATGGCATCTCAAATTCTTATCTGCACCTTTTTTGCTTTCAAGAAAATATCTCAGGATAGTTGCATGCAAAAACCCCCACAACCGAACATCTTAAACTCAATGCTTCTTAAGGAGACATTGTCATAATAAAGCAAGACTAGAGATTATCTCAAGAGACCATTGCTTTGTGCCTCTGCCCCAAGGCAGGATCAACATTGTCACTGTCATATCTGACAGAAGCTTACAGTCATTTTACTGAGAGAGATGTCATAATTTACCTAGGGAATGTAGTCCAGTGCTTAATTATCCTTATTCTTAGAAAATTTTTCCAAATTCTTGCCTTGGTCTTCCTTACAGCCCATTACTTCTTGTCCTGCCAGTGTAGCCCATGAAGAACAGATTGCAGTCACACCCAAGTATTCCCCAAGGACACAATCCTGAAAAGAGCAGGATAGCAAGAGCATATTTTCCCATAAGAATTAATGATGGGGAAAATGCACACAGGAAGTTAAGAACTACACATGTTTCAAAATCACAGGGAGGAGGATCGCTGGGAGGAGAGTCTCTTCTGCTGCTGTCCTTTCATCACTATTCTGAAAAATATCATCTGTGCCATCTATGAGACAATGCCCAAAAAACTCTTGCAGTGTAAGCATTCTTGCTGTCTCTTCTGGACAGTTGCATCTTCATCTTCCTCCTGAGATAAATCAGAGCAAATCCATCATAGATGAGAGACAGAAAAGACGGGGTAAGGATGGTGGTAAGTGGCACATATTAAATGGTCAGCAGCAGAACCTTTAAGTAGTGGACAGAGAAATAGAGGACAGTGAGGTGCCACTGTATTGCCTTAATGTCTGCTGAACCCTTCTACACAAATAGAAATGATCATAGTTTTCCCAGTAGTTTCTCTCCTGCAAGCCATCCAACACCTATTTGCTTTGCCTTTCATTGCTCTTCATATTTACAAGTAGTGAAATGGGTTGACAGAGATGACCTGGTCACTCTTTATTTTGTGGATCATATTATATTTCTACTTTCTGGAGGGACTGGCTGCCTGAACTATGAGTTGTTTTTGCTTTGATCTAATTATCTCACTATTCTTAATACATACCTCAAATTTGACTGCAGAATGGGGGTGAACAAATGCATGGGAGATGTCTAATGACTGTGAGAATGGGGTGAAGGTGGCCATGGGAAGAGGTTAGCGTGTGGCTGCTATGTGCCTTTGGAATGGACGCCATATGCCTATCACCCCTCTGTGCTAAGAGCAGTGTTTTCCCCTCCCTCTGGCATGAGACTTTTGCTGCTGGGGAACTTACATGGAGAGAAGGAGAATCTCCCTGTGTGGTGGCTGTGTATGTGATAAGTGTTTAATCACTCATCCCTCTGAAACAAGGCAATGGGGTCCCTCACACTGACCAAGTCCTGTACAGGGGGCAACAGTTTCCAGGGATGGCTTTGCCTTGCAATCCACTTGCAAAATAGCTGGCACTTGACAACTCTTGGGGCTGCTGCCAGGGGCAGTCTGTGTCTGAGAAGTCACAACCCTCTTCTCCATAGATGACATCTCACTGCTGTCCTCTCTCTGGAGGCTTTTGGCATGGGGCAGGGGCTGCACCCAGGCAGTGACGGCAGCAGGAGGTACTGAGGATGCCACAGCTCCTTCCTTCTGGCAGGTGCTGTCACAGTGATAGGAAACCAGCTCATTGCTGAAATTGACCCTCTCCACAGGGGATTTGGGTGCCCCACAGCAGCAGCACCGGCAGCCCAAGAGATTGCTGAAAGCTCTCCTGAAGTCTGCATTGAAAGCATAGATCACTGGATTCACTGAAGAGTTGGCCCAGCCAAACCACACAAAGACATTGAAGGTGGTTTGGCCAATACAAAGTGACTGTCCCTCAGGGTCTTCCTCGAGGCTGGGCTGGCAGAAGGGCAGCAGACAGTTCAGCAGGAAGAAGGGCAGCCAGCAGCAAACAAAGACTCCCATTATGATAGAAAGGGTCTGCAGCACCCTGGTCTCCTTGTGCAAGGAGCTCCGTAAAGAGGAGGTGGGCTCCTTGCCAGGAGCTGGCCGCTGCCCCCCTGCTCTCTCAAGGGTGGAGATGCGGCGGATCTGGGCCTGGGCAATTCTGTAGATCCTGGTGTAGGTGATGATCATTATGGCCACGGGGATGTAGAAGCTGATAAGGGAGGAGGTGATGGCATAAGTGGGGTTCAATCTGACATCACAGCGGGGTGTCCCAAGTAGCCAGGAGCCTGCATTTCTACTGTCCTTGGCTTTATGCCAGTGTAGCTGCACCGGGATGAAGGAGATAAGGATGGAGAGAGCCCAGGCCACGGCTATCATGGCACAAGCAAGGCGCTGTGTCATCCTGCGCTCATAGCGAAAGGGGCTGGCGATGGCCCAGTACCGGTCCAGGCTGATGATGCAGAGGTGGAGGATGGAGGCTGTGGAGCACATGATGTCGAAGGCCAGCCAGGTGTCACAAAAGTGCCTGCCAAAGAGCCAGGAGCCTCCAGCCACCTCAGTGACCGCCTTCCAGGGCATCACCAAGAGGGCCACGCAGAGGTCCGAGACGGCCAGCGACAGCACGAACCAGTTGGTGACCTTGTTGCGGAGATGGCGGAAGCGCAGGATGGCGAGGCACACGAGCGCATTGCCCAGCAGCGTGCTCAGCACCAGGGCGCCCAGCAGGCACCCGGTGAGTGCCCGCAGCACCCTCGGGCCGTCCCCCAGCTCCGCGCTCCCCATCGGGGGCGCAGCCTCGGCGCAAGGGCCGGCCCCGCTGCCCCGGGGCCCCCCTGCCGCTCCTGCCGGAGGGACAGCGCCCGAGGCGGCGGCGGGACCCCCCCGGGCCAGAGCCGCCCGCGCCTGGGGGAGCGGCGGCCCGCGGGGGCATCTCTGCCCGCCGCCCTCGGCGTGCCCCGCGGCGGCTCGGGCTGGCCCGGGCTACTCACCCGCCGGCTGCCGGGGCCTCACCTCTCTCCTCCCCGCTGGCCGCCGCCGCTCCCGGGGCCGCAGCGAGGAGCCGTCCCGCCGCCGCGGCCCCTGGGCTGCGGAGCGGGGCCGGGCCGGGGCGCGGTGGGAGCAGCGCGTTCTGCCCGCAGCGCCGGGACAGAGCGGCTCCGGGTGCTGGTGGTGCCGCCGCTGCAGCCCCCGCGCATCCAGCGCTCTTCCCAACGCGAGCGGGGAGCTCTCCCACCGCATCCCCCTGCGGAGAGCGCGTCCCAGCCCTCACCTGCACTTGTCCGAGTGTCGGGGGCGAGGCAGGACCTGGCGCTTTCCAAGTGTCTCCTTTTGGAGAGCTCGATCACATCTTAGTTTGATTAGAGAGCAGGATGTCACTTCGTGTAGCTTTACATACACTGGGAATGCGCTCAAATCTGGCTGTCAGAACCTGCTTTCACCAAAATACTATTGTGCGGTTTATTTTTTGTTTTGAACTTTTATGTAATGAAACCAAACCACAGAAACCTAAGATCTCTAGTTCGGATCTGCTGCATTTTGGCAATAATTTGTTCACAGCACCCAAACCCTGCCTCTTTATTTTTCAGCCAAAAGTGTCTTCTGATGTATTTCAACAGTCTTTTATTTGTTACTATAATAATATGCATATTTTCATATGCATACACATATAATTACAGCACATATTACAGCCTACATTCAATAAAGTACCCAAGTGCAAATAGGGTAAAATCCTTAATTTTAGAAGAATTCGTATAGCGATCCTCTCACGAGAAAAAAGAGATTTGAATGTTCACTGGAAGTGAATAGAAAATATCAATCAATGTAATTAATTAACATGGGAAATAAGTATTTATTTTTACATTAGGTATTTTTTTATTTCTTTGCCTTTTAATTAAAACTAATCCAGTCACTAGTTCCAATACAAATAATTTTCAAGCAGTAAGTATCTGATTTCCTTTGTACTCTCATGATATTTTTGGTAATTAGTAGAGAGAGTGGAAATTTTTAAAACAAATCTTGAACAGCATAGCTGGAAGCTTACCCTGTGAAAAAAAATCAGGGTATTTAAGCTAAACTAGTTGGATTGTACCATTTCGTAACAGATTGTTAACATTTGGTCCTGTTTTTTAAGATCCTATTTTCTTTGTGCTTTGGACATCACAGTCTTCATGAAGCAGCCCACTGTGTTGTTCCTGCTATGATACTGAAAATCGGAATACATTTCTTGCTAATGTGTTTATCTGTAAGACTAACTCATAATTCAGACAACTGCTGGAGAGTCTTCTCTAATTAAATATATACTTTGTTAAAGCAGTAGCAGCTGTAAAAATAACATTGGCTGGCATGTAAGAACCAACTCCACTTGCTGTAGTTCCACATACATGGATTTTGCCAACACTTGAAAACCACAGTAGGGGTCTGATGTTCATTCCAATAGTAAGGACTAAATCTTAGCTTGTAAGAATTATCTACACATTTGCTAATTTGATTTGATGCACTTATTTTTATTTAGCCATCAATAAAATGACCCCAAAGGACAGAATATATTTGTGAAGGACTGTAAGTGGGACAGTAGCGTGACTGAAGGCAATACAGCACTGAAAAGGAAAGAGCAATATGTTTGCATATTCAGCAGACAGTAGTGCTGCAGGGCTCTGTAGCACAAGATAGCCAGCATTCTCCATATTAAAATAACTCTGTGTATGTCCTGCTCCCAGGATCACATTATGCTCTGTGAATATGTCTAGCTCCTTTTTAGCATGCATTATAAAGGAGAGTGTATATGATGATGCTGTTTTGTGTGCCCATCTGTGAGTGCCATATCTCAATTTTGTGGCTGTTGGTTGAAGTAAAATATGACTGACCAATCTCAAAATATAAATTTCCTGTGGTTGTAATTAAAGTAGGCATCTAGTTTGAAGTCAGAACCTCTACTAATATCCTCACTGATAGGAAGGTTGTAGTGTGGACTCAACCCTTACTAAGCGCAATAGATTCTGCACAGAAGGAGACATTGTGGGTGCTCTTACCATAAAGAAAACATCAACAGACACATTCATCTTCTTAGATACCAGAGGATCCAAATGGAAGATGTAAATGCTTAAGAAACTATACAGTGAGTCAGTCAGTGGCAAAGACAGAAATAGAAGCATTGCCCTGCTTTTATTCCTATATTGGGCCAGAAGGATTGAGTAAGCTTATGGGAGAGGGAGGAAAGAAAAACACAGGGGAAAACAACACAGTGTGAAAATTAGTGTGTAAAGTGAGTTGCAAATGCTGTAAGCTTTGATTTTAACTATTTCTTGAATTTATCTTACTTGGGATAGAACGGGAAAGTTCTGGGCAAAATAATGGAAAAAAAAAATACCGATGGAATGGATAAATCAGCCTCTCATGACCTCAGAAAATATACGAGCTTGTTCCATCTGTGAAAAATATAAACTTATCCAGAGAATATATGTAAGACATATTGCAATATGTATATAATGGCTTGATATTGTATGTCTTTTAAATGCAATCACAGCATTTAAAATCTCTCTCCCTCCATGAAGAGATGTATATAAGAAACTAAAATCAATTTCCTCTTCTTCCCCTTTCTTTCTCCTTGTTTCACTTCTCCCTTGTGAAATTATGTGACCCTAGACTAAGTGCTCACATGTTTTATAGCACATATGATTAAAAGGAGACTAGATTCAGAAAGTAAAATTGAACCTTTAAGTGATTAGCATGACTGCATTTGGAGCTCAAGCCTCAGTCTAGCTCACTGACATGCATAACTGAGGCAAGTTAAAACTCAGTGCTCAAACAGGACACGATAATTCAATGCAAGCCTCACGGTGCCTCCTGGAAGGGCACTGCTGTTGTCAAGTCCTGTGCCGTGGTTCCACAGCTGGCTGGGGGAAATGAGCCTCCAGCAGGTGACTGGCAGGATCTGCTCTGTGCCTGGGAGCTGTGTGCAGGGTTAGTGCCAAGTGTCACTGATGCTGTGTGCGCTCATACAGACAGCAACTGGAGGCTGCAGCCACATTGATCCAGTGTCAGCGTTTCTGCTTTGCCACATGAATGTAAACAATGGTGGTTAATTAAACAGCTAATTCAATTTTGAGATCTTGTCCAAATAGGGAGAGGATAATTATAACAAATTTTGGGAAGTGGTGTCAATGGTCTTGCTGTGTAAAACGTATTGAGGCACTGGTAAAACGATGCTGTGGCTGAGCCATCTTTCTGAAAAGCCATTGACAGTATGTGAATCAGATTAATCTGAGGTTTGGGATTAGCTCTGGTGACTTTACATTCCCGTTGGGGACTGATTTTAAATGTCTTGGAAAAGTGTCATTGAAAGCAGTAATGTTACATCTGAAACCAGTATGATCATCTGTCCATCCATCTACTCATCTCTGCATAGCTAAAGAATCTTGTACATATATGTGTGTCTGTACACTTATAATCTTGGCTTTATATATTATCTTCATGCTTTCAATGCCATGTGACTTTTGTGATCTTGATCATATACCGAGACTGCTAATCTATGCTATGCATAGCAGATCCAGCATTTACTGCTGAAAATAGTAGTTTATTAGAGATATGGATTAGCTGTATGAGTGAACTGGAAGTTGATGAATAATTCATTGTTTCAGAAACTGTCTAGAGAAGTTAGAGGACGAATAACTAAGTTGACAGCTAAGTATCAAAAACATGTTTGGTCTGCTCAGACTTAAGAGAAATAATTTGAATTTGTGTCATCCAATACAGAGTCCACTCTGTAGCTCTTCACATATTTTGAAGTTGATATGGTTCTACGTGATTTCACCATGAGTTTTTTAGCAAAACATCTCTTGAGTTTGGAATACCTTTAAAGTTAAGTAAGGACAAATAAAAAATATGTAATATCCAACCAAATTACTTTTCTGGGAAAATCTTGGGCCTGTCCTCTCTTCCAAATAGAAAGGCCAGAGATACCAAATTCACTTTTTGGGAAGCCCCACCAAGCATTACTATATGAGAGCTTATGAACTCTGGTCTGTAAGGGTGCTGTGATGCTTTCTATGACCTTATTTAGAGAGACTCTATTTGCAATTAGTGTAAGGGCATTAGGAGAACAAAAACTATAGGTAAATAGCTTTTCCACAACACTTACAGGTATCACAGCACAAGGGGTACTCAGCTGTGAAGATGCCACCTTTTGCTGGCTGGACCACCAAGCAGTTGAACTGATTTCCTAGAGAGATAAAGGGAAATTGCACTATTTTGACCTTTCAGTTCTCACATGAAAGCTGCATATCTTTTCTAGCACCCTAACCACTTAATGTGTAAGTTCTTTCAGAGTACATGGGTATACTACCTAGACAAGATGACTCTTACATTTTAAAATTATAGGATTGCTCTGATTTATCTTATAGGTACTTTTCAGCTTCAGAGAAGGTTTCATTTTCATTACTGAAAAGATTAGAGCAAGAGTAGCTGTCTTCCCATCATGTCCTCCAGTTTACAACTGACATAGAGAAGAAAATATTCCCTTTCTCAGGACTGCCTAAATCCTCCTAGATTTAGGCTTTACCCTCTAGTGATACAGGAAATGCAGAGAGCCATTTAGAGCCTTACCAACCCTTCTAATTGTTTTCTTATTCTCTCTCTGCTGTATTTTACTGTTACTGGGGCTGTTCTCAGTATTCTGGTTTGGAGCTGGGTCCCAGAATTCAAGAGAACTGCACTTTGGTTTACCTTTGAATAGACATCAATCATTTAGCCATCTTCGGGTTTTTGGCTTTTGAAATTGCTTTTCA